GTTGATTATGTAATTGCCAGAGAGTTCTTCGTCTTCTTGTAAGTGTTATTGAAGCGTTTGGCCTAGTAGATTGTATATCAGTATACCCTTCCAGGCTCTGAAGAAGGCGATACTGCCGAAACGTCAGCTAGCGTTGTATTGTATTGTGTTTTTATGGAAGTAAATGTATGCTGTTTAAAAACCTCGCGATTGTAGAAAATAATGTTAGTACCAATCTCGTTTGTAATGGAGTGTAATAATCAAGGAAACAACGGAACTGGAATGAAAGCCATGAGTCATCGTTGGCCTACCTCATAGTGCTGGAAGCGAAGAATCGCTGTTTGATGCATTTTAGTCGATTCTTTTCAAGCCGTACTCGCCTTTCGATAATGTTAGGATGATCCCGAGTCTTGGACTCCTTCGCGATGCTGATATCGCGATCAGCATTCTGAACGCGAACGATCAGAACTGTTTAACGTCTGCGGCCAATTTATTCAAGTGCGCTTTAGAACGCATAAATAAACAAAATTCCTCGAAGTTATTTTTAAAAGATCAACGAACTATGTCTCTCTGCAGGAAGTACGCTCTCGGTTCAGGTGAATGATCGTCGAGATTGTAGCGAAGCACGAATTCCAAGCTGTTCGGAGTGTCTCCGCGTCCTTCATAGCGAAGACAGGTGTTGATGTTCCGACTAAACTCAAAAGTCTTCGAAAAGATACAGCGTATGGAATTGCTGCCAGTATATTTGAATTTCCTCTCCGAAGAAAAATCTGTGTTACCCAAATGTCTTTCAAGTTTCATGTGTTCGCATGACGTCTATAATTTTTCACTCAACCACTGGAACAGTGAATACTGAGAGATAGAGAAACAGAGACAGAGACAGAAGGAGAGAGAGAGGGAGAGACAGAGAAAGAGAGGAGGAAGTACACCATCTTCCTAAAGTACGGTATTAGAATGACCGTAATCTACGGCACGATTTCTTGTCCTCATAAAGTTGAAAATCATGGAATTCAACCATATGGGTGCTGAGATGTGAGCAACACTCAGAACGTTAGGTGCGCTCCGAACCTGCGTTTATCCTTTCCGAGCGCTAATGTGTTTTCAACTTCACCAACCCAGGCCCTTGTTTTGTCTTTCTCTCAGCCATTTTTTTAAATCTTGGGATTGCTTGAGTTTTCAACGGACTTCATGAGTAATGGGATTATTCACGAATGGATGCGCGTGGCTGCTCACCAGGATTGCCTGCCGATCTTGGCGTCGACGTCGCAGTTCTTGTCCTCGACGTTGATGGTGACGCTATCTGCGTCCGTCTGCCCTGTCAGCGTCACCACCGGCTTCGTCGTCAGCACAGCTGCATTGCCACTTTTCCATGCTCCAACCGCGATGTCTAAAAGAAAAAAAACATTCTGCAAAGGACACCGTCAAGTCGGAACAACAAAGGGCTTCATAGTTCAGGAGGGAAAATGTGGGAATGGCTTGCTTCAATCGCTGGCTTGTACAGCACCACTTCAGTACCCAAAGCTGTGGTTCCATAAGAAGCCTTTCCTTACAAAAGAAACGCATAACATTTGAGCCAAAAAGTAAAGGTGAATTTCCAACCCACGTCTTAGAAACCCAGGATAACACTTTTTCTGTTCCAAGAAGGTTACTAAAACAGCTAACTAAAACAATGAAAGATGCCCTGAAAACATTTTCGCCATTAATTTGGCACTTTGTTTGCTTGGTAATCACCCCAAAACTAATAATTGAACTACAAATTTTTTAATATTAAAGTAAATTGAAAGCCTTAAAACAATTGCAAGACAAAAAATAGAAGGGATGCCAATGTAGGAACGAGTTGAATAATACTGCTCCCATGTCTGAGATCGATTAACGGTGAATACAGAAGTCGTTAAACATGGCTACTCGCGGCGGAAGAGGTTCTTTTCGTCCTGTCTTGTGCTATCTACCATAGGGGACCGCGTGCAGTACAGTGGTTAGGGGCGCCCTCCAATATGCATGCGGACTGATCCTTCAAGCCAGGCCCTGTAAGCTTTCTATTCTTCCGGGGTCGACAAATTGGTTCCAGACCAATCTGGAAGGATAGCAGCGTTAACTCGATACATAGGTAGGCCACTGCGAGTCACTGTATAAGTGATAATGAAGCCGAATGCATGGCGTAACCCTCAGGGATTGATCGAGGCCGAGAGCCTCCCCTTTTTATCCTTTATTTTTGCCTTCCTAACATTTGTGCGGTGTCGGAATTTCGGTAGATTAGATTTCACTATAAGCAGCTCAATGCGAGAAGAAATGGCAGCGACTTTGAAATGCTACAACGCGGATCAAGTAGAACTTTTTTAAACGAGATTTGAGCTATGAGAACTTACATATGTTTACAAACAATATACGAGCTTGATTATTTGGGTGGCAAAGATTTCTGACGTTCTGTTAACGCGAGTCTTTTGGAGGCACTTTTAATGGCTACTTGTTTGTTGAAAATGCTTCACTGGAGGTGTTGTCGATATGCTCGAAAAAGTAGTAGCTGTTTGGCGAGATCTCCAAAAAGTGTGATAGATAAGGCATAGCTCCACAGTTTAGTATGTTCAACTTCTATAACGTTGGTAATAATTTCTGAACCACTTCATAGATTTTCGAAGCGCTCGTCTACTTCTTTGCTGTGGATGGTTTCCCCAGAATTCAAAGGAGTATAACAAACCATCTCCTAAAGCTTTATCACCTCATCGTGACTGGGAAGTGCTCCTCAGTGTCGAGCTGCGATGTACAGCGGTGGGATTAATCCCTCATCCCCCTAGCACGGCCTCCCATGCTGAGAAGTCTGGTGTTTCCACTAGGAAGTCCAGCTAAGGGCAAATGCCAATAGCAGGACCCATCATCGTCGTGGTATCAAGTTAGTAACATGGTGACAAATCTCACTCTGATCAACAAGGGTGACAACTGCCTGTTGGCCTCGCTGTTCTCGGAACTCCAGTGAATCACAATGGCTAAACCAGCAAAACATCCAAAAACTAGAAATTTTTCTGGGGTGCGCACAACCAGTGAGGACGGGCCACCCAAGTATCCAAATAAGCGAATAACAAACTTACAAACCTGCTATGAAATAGCTAAAACGGCAGGGTAGACTTCGTGATGTCGTTTTCTTATTTGTTCGCCATTTTCCAGTTGGAATGGCACTTATTTAATAGGTTTTCCACTTTTCCTGCGCGCTTGAAACAACGAACCATCGATGAAGGATTAACATTGTTTCTTCCTCAACCTTTTTATAAAGGGTAAACTTCGACTAGGTCATCACAGCCTATAAAGTTTCGTCATCAAGACTCATATCTCCTAGATGGGATTTCTAGACCCATCTGCGTACTGTGTGTTCAGAACCCCTTCCATCCCCCTATGCCTTGATAACATTTCGAGTTCTCTGCGTAGAACTGTGCAAAACTTTTAACTCAAGAAGCAAAATGGCATAGATTTCCTAAGTGTGTAGTTTTCATAGGCTGAAAAGCATTGTTGAATACTTACTTACTTGATACTTGAATGACCCGTCTTCAATGGTTGTGCAGACACCAGCACAATCTCCATTTCTCGGACATTTGCTACTTAAGCCATTAGGATTCCCTGGAGTCCGGAAGTCAACCTGGCCAAAGTCTGCCCCAGGTCTTCACCACCACAGGCAGTCGCACCCCTTGTGAATCAGAGGGAGATTTACCACCATGCAACTTTGATAACAGGACGGTGGTGGATCCTGGTATTGGTATTGGTTTACTCCTAAATCGTTTTCCTGATGGAAACGCTGAACTCCTTCTAAGCCTCAGAAACCCTGCCTGGGAGACGAATCTCCCGCTGTAGATATCAACCCAACACCCAGGAACACCTCCCAGCCACGATGAGGCGGTAAAGCGTTGGGAGGAACGGTAAATAGTTAGGCAATAAATAAGAATGTACAAGGCAGGAATGCAGACAACAAGCATCCATAACAAAATGCATTCGTAAATTTTGTAACCATCAAAGTGACCATCCTTTTTGAACCAACCAACGAAAAGGCACTATTAATCAAGTGAAGGCGACAAAGTAGCCTGTGTATGGTGAACAAAATGAGGTTAATTCAACACAAGCTATCTCTTGAAGAAGGCCCAACTATGAGTTACAACTTCTCCACTAAGACTCACATCCAACCCGAACGTTTCTCTCTTAATCGCCTGATTACACATATCTCGAGCAACGCCGAATGACTGTTAGAAGAGGCTATAACGATGCGAGATAACGACAGCGTTATTGGATGTAGCATTAAAAAAAAGCAATTCAAAAAAAAATGCTGTCATGTACTTAAATTATTACGGTACATCGTTAATATCATTATGGAAAAGAGACAGGCTTACTACTTTTTGGTGTCAAAAAATGAGGTTAATCAATCACTGAATCACAAACAGAGATAACTCAAATCTTTTCCGGCCAACATCCTCTGTAATGTGTCTTAACCATCGCACTGAAGGGAAACCACCTCGGTATCGTTCGTTCCTCATATGAATATGTCATAACTCCACAATCACTTCCATATAAGCAACGTTTATTAAGGCTATTTGGAGAAGAACTTTCATAGTCTCCTCGGAAAACCAGATAAAGAAATGGTAAAGCTTTTTCCGTGGTGAAGTTGTTCACTGGAGTACGGTAGCAAGGCCTAAATTTTTCCGACAGATGAAAATATATCACTTGAGTAAATGGAAACCCGAATTATCATCTCGTGAACAAGGATGTACTTCTTTCAAGGTCAATAAAAAAACGTTGTTAATTTCTTACAAAGGAATGGAACGTTCAACTAGCGAGATCTATTGGAACCAACCAGGCATTCCATTGCCGTCGATATCGACACCACCAGCGACCGAGAAACCAAACGTCCTCATCCGTGGACCGAATTTGTGGCCTTCGATCTGAAGGAAGACGACTTTGTTTTCATCAATATACTTTTATGATGTTGTAATTCCTACAACAGCACTATAATATTAGGTACTGCAATGCTCGACCACTAATGAAGATGAATTTTCAAGTACTCCAATAGACGATAATGTTATCTTGATGTCAAATTGATGTAAATGAAAAAAGCATATGCCATTCTTCGAGTGCAGACCACTTATCAGCGCTAGCGAGAAAGACCAGATTGAATATGATAGATGATAAGATCTGAAGCAATGACTCCACGTCATATACAACGGCTGCTAGATGTAGGAACGAGCGGGTACGGTCACTAATCCATAGTCTGACCAGCAAGAAAAGATTGGATGAGAAATAAGATACGACTTCCACTCGCTGGGTAGATGAAAAGATCACAGTCCGCACAGGAAATTAGGAAACAGTTGATGCTCTGATACCTTCTGGGTGTACTTGGTACGAACACCGTCTTTGCTGCCGTGTATGATGAACGCCGCTCCAGCCATGTTTTTGCCGGCATAGGGCGCACCGACGACGACATCTGCAAGAAATCTACTGGAGTGAACGTGATCCTTAAACGCATACACGCTGACTAAAACATAACCCTAACTGTAAGCTAAAATTCCACTCAAATCACTGCTGTACTACACAATATGTGTTGATTTGTTTGAAAGCTTCAGTATCCTAAAAACGTGAAACCGCTAAACATACAACTATTCGAGATTTCAGTCATGTCATGATTCATCGAATATTCCCTTGTGCAGTTACTTCAACCTATTCAAAAACTGGATGTGGTTCTCAAACGCCATTTAATGTGGGCGAGTTACCGTTATAACCATCCTGGTTAAGATCTCCAGTTGCCGCAAGTGAAAATCCGAATCGACCCCACTGATCTTCTCCGACAATCACTTCCTGACGGTCGAACACTCCCTAAAACCAGTTTAAAGCGCTTTTCTTGGGTCTCTAGCCCTTGACGAAATGTGAGGGATTGCTACTTACCGGAGAGGTCTGGAAGAACACGACCACTTTGCCAACGTCGTACTGTGGCTTTCGCTCCTGCGTTTTCACATCCTTCACGGTCACATAGTCAGTGTAGAAGGGGCATCCCATTATGATATCGTCTCTCCTGAAGAGACGTGGAAATTTCTTATTCGCATTGTTTCTCGGCTGGATTGTTTGAATCGGTTAGAACTTGAAATATTCAACATCACAATATGCGAGAACAGTAAGAAATTATTCAAAAGACTGACTTTCTATAAACCTCGGCATAGATAGTTGATATACTTCGTATTTTTGTTGAGCAAACGCGAGGTGTTACTATTCTTTGTTCACGATTAAGCTGACGTTTCGGCGGATTTCGTCTTCTTCAGAGCCGCTTTATATGAGGTTTCCACTAAGTACAAAAATACGAAGAAAATCACTTGATCAATGCCGAGGTTAATAGAAAGTCGGTCGTGATAGTTGATATATTTATTCATATGATCTTATAAACTGATCTCCTTAAGCTGATGCAAGGATAGTATAGGTCTTATTTGTCGTTGTTGTTGATGATGATGATGTTGTTTGTTGATGGCTGACGTTTCGTCGATTTCTCCTTCCTCAGAGCCGTGATGTTAGCCGTGATGGGAGCCCCACTCGTAACATCACGGCTCAGAGGAAGGCGAAATCGCCGAACTGTCAGCCATCGACAAACAACATCAACAGCAACAACAACAACAACGACAACGACAACGAAGATCCATATCAACTTCGCATCAGCTTAAGAAAATCAGTTTAGAAGACCACGTAAATAAATACATCAAGAAATTATTCATTCTACAATTCAGACTGAAATGTACCATTACTCCAATAAAACCATGTTCTGAGAATATCGTTGATATTTACGTTTCTGGCATCAGTACTGGCGAAACCCGTACATTTTGTTATTGCAGAGTTAGTATGATTGCACAAAATGTAGAGAACAGACACAGGAAATCCTTTCCGTACACATCAGAACCGCACAATCAAGTTGTTGTCAAATTGCGATACCTTCGAGTAGATCGCAAGATGTTTCGATGCCATTCGGCATTCGTCGCTTAGGTCCAACTCACCCATCCTTGTTCAGATCCGTCACCGCCACACTACTGCCACAGTACTGTCCCTGTTGTTGAGAGACGGAGTCGGTGAGGTTCAAGAGCATCTTCAGTCGCGAAGTGTACAGAACCAACTGTAATTCAATAGCTGCATACCCCACAAAACAAATAAGATGGAAAACTTGGCTAAAAATTTCATTTTTCTTTTTCTACCTTGCAAGCACTTTTCAAATGACTTTGAAATGACAAGAATTTACGAATTTCAGGAAATCAAAAGGATGAGCTCAGTAGATGCTAACATTTCGAGTGCTACATTTAGTATTGCTTTCAATTTTCGCGCAAAATGCACGAAAACAGAAAGAACAGAGTATGAATTCTTTTCATTCTTTGAAAACCACTGTCAAAGCAGACTGTCAGTGTATAGCGCAGTGTTTGGAGGCGCCACTGCGATGCGCACGTGGAATAGATCCCCGCGCTTATGGCCTACCAAGCCTTCCATCCCTCCGGGATCGGCAAATTGGTACCAGACTTGTCTGGAAGGATAGCAGCATTGGATTGATACATTGGTAGTCCACCGCGAGTCACTGTAAAGGCCAGATATGCATTCAATCATCTTCGAACGATGCTTAATGAAGTCGAATGCATGGAGCATCCTTCAGGGATTGATCAACGCCAAAAGCTTTATCCTTTAATCGTTTGTTGTTTGAATAGAGGCCAATGCGCATATTGTGGATAGCACAGTGGAATACGCTTTGACCATGAAGAAACTGCAGCGGCAAGCCAGTTCCAGGGAACTATGCCTCCCACCTTTGCTTCTCCACCGCAGCCTAACACTCATCTTAAAAAGGGTACCTTCAAGGACTGCCAGTATTAAGAGCTCAATATTTGTGCACTACTAAAAATTCGGGTGCTTCGCATTTTCACTTTCCGACGATTTCTTTTTGATTTGGAAACACTTCAGCAAGGAAAAGAGAACGATTTTGAAAACTGGGTCAATAGATTAGAAAAGCTCGAAAATTAGAGCTAGCTCTGAGGAAGTCGGGTTACGCTAGAAAACCAGAGTCGTTCTAGTTGGAGGATAAAAACAGTAATTGCAAGAACTATAGTGTATATTTCTTCGCCACTAGTTTAAATCACATTATAGTTAATGATGAAGAGTACAAATGATAAGGAATAACGGATGTAACAAATCTTTTCTCACTTTTCCAGCCAGGTTGTTTCCTCTCGGCACGCCAGCGACGATGTCGTCAACACCATCGCCATCGAGATCACCACTGGCAGTGGCGTACCCTTAACGACTCACCGTGAGGATAAAAGGGAACAGGAAGAGTGAGCTAGAGAGGATTCATGACACAGAACCGAACTAGTTATCGGACTAAGGATTCACGTCAGTAACGGTAAAATGCTAATATTTTTCAAATTTGAATAAAACACCCAAGGGATGGAACTAAAAATGTCACTCGACTACTATAAAGCCAACCCATCATGTCGTGATCGTACTCCTTTCCTCCATACTCCGTGTTTGGGCGGTCGCTAACGTTTCTGATGTTCTGACTAAAAATCGCTCCTTGCCAGTACCACACTCCAGGCGCTCCGATGAACACCTTAATTCTTGCCGATGAGAAAAAAAAAGAGATTCGACTTCATTGTTCTCGAACATGCGACCTCTCAGTGAGCTGTGAAAATGATGCACCCATCATGGTTAGGAAATATTCCTTCGCAGTTGGTTACAGTGCATTTGAATACCGAATGACACGAAGTAGGTGAGGGATAGTGACGAAACGAACTGCGAAGCAAAAATGACTTCTCATTTACCGTGAGATGCACTTGGTCTCATGGGATGGGGTTCCTGTCTCTTTTACGCCGGATTCACTTATCCCTTCAGCAAGAAGCTGTGATATTATTATATTATATTATATATATTATATTTTTATATATTATAAGTATTTATACTTTATATTATATATAAGTATATAAGTATAGATATATATTTATAAGCATCATCTTAGGTGTACCTGCATCTATAGGCATTTCCTAGCAAATTATCTACGTATATTCCTTTCCCATAAGTTTTTAAAAAATTAGGGAAATCTTAGGAAATGTATGATTTTTATTTCAATATTAATGGTCGCTGGTGTCGCTAATTATTAATGGGGTTACGGTAGGTTATACAAAATAAAATTATTAAGTGTAGATAGTTCCATTATTGTTGCTGTTGTTACCCTTTCGTCTCCTTTTTTGTAATTGCTGGCAAGCGCGGCCGAGAATCCACACTGGCCATAGCCGAAGCGATGTCGTCCATGACGGGCCGCTGAACAAAAGCGTCTTTATCCAGTTGACCTCTGGCCGGCACTGAACTCACGTTCTTGGCGACAGGGAGCGAACTCCTCCGTGCGGGTGAAGCCCTGCTCGGCGAAGAAACACGTACCAACGGGCTCAATTACCTCGAACTTTGAGAAGAAGTATTTGTACTTTGGAGCGCACATCTGCAATGAATGATGCAATAAACACGTATGGATCATGATCAATTATTCCCTCCAAAGACTTGCTTCTTGAAGGTTATTTGCTACTTTTTTGTAGCAGTAGGTCGTATGATGACCTTGAATAGGTTCGATAATGGAAAACATGAAAGAAGATTTTTACTGGCACCCGTTCGAGTGACTCGACGATCAGCGAGACTACAGGTGATACAGGTGATACAGTAGGTTACACATATAGGTCACTCAATGTTGTGAAGCCCGGTGGACAGAGACAAAAATGGAGACTTTCTTGGTACCCACTTAATTCATGGATTACGGGACTGCTGCCGTGAAAGTATACTGTAACCGTTCCAGGTTCTACTCTTTGCTCATATCTAATAATTATAGAGCCATTATGTACTATGTAGCAATATTACGTTATGAACAAAAATCCAAAGTTCAACTGCCAATTGTTGACCTGGATTAAGCTGTTTAGACAACTATTATCGGTCAACGTAACCACTAGCTTAATAACTCGCTCATTTTTGGTTTTCACCATATTAAAATCTACTGCATGAAGTAGATCTTCAAGCAAAGCCTTCCGGTTCCGGCTACTAGGCAAACTAAATAATGAGCCATTCCCAACAGTAAGCTGCTTTCTGTTCGATGCATTCTCATAAAGACGCACACAAATTTCGTGATACAGTAAGCGTACTAGAATCCTTGGGGTAAAATGATAGATATCAGCAATATGAATGAAGCATAAAGAATATTAAATAAACGGAATGGAATTCTATCAGAATCGCTAACAAACTCACTAAGAGCTTATCATGCTTCTTATTCGACTTGACGGTGGCACCAAAGAACTGGTGTGCTTTGTCCTCGATCGGAGCCAGAACTGAACCGTTCAAACGTCGTTCGTTTCCAGCTGAAAGTGACATTTGAGAATACTCTAAACGCATTGCCATCTACCTCAATTCCGTCTTCTTATAGTTTTTCGTACACTGTTTCTCTTAATTCCTCCTTTAACCTTTAATACTCACATCGTTGCTACTTTGCTGATGCAATACCAAAATTTGTTTAGTTAGTTAATTACTTAATTGTGTTTTTTCATTGTTATTTGGTGGAATGGTCGATGTGTTCTTTTTAAACTCATAATCGTGTTTAACCACCGAAGCTTCATCTGTGCTCCAACAACAAGGTAAACATGAGTGAAACCTTTTCAACGGCAGAAGACCTCTACCAAATCGGTTAACCCACGGTGTGGATCATACACTACCTTATGTTGTCGTTGAAATGCCGCCGTTTCACTTTATTCCACTCATCTCATAAGAGACATTCTGTGTTACATTTAGCACAATACAGCTCGTATTCGCAGCAGTAGGCTTCTTTTTGAGGCCATCATACTGGAAACTCAGCTTTATCGACAACATCCGAAAATTGGTGGAAATGACAAGAAAATTAGGTCCATCGGAGTGCACGTGGTTGTTGAACAACTTGAGCAAAACTGTTTTTTGCATTATCGCTCCGTCCGCCAGTTGAATTCCATTGGTTCTTCTTTCTGCCTTTTCTTTCCAATGTCATTCTATCAGTCTTCTTATCAATGCATGCTTGAAGTAATACCGTTTGCGATTGATGAATAAATGAACAAGCGAGTAAGTAGTGTGGACGTTAGTCATTTCCCATCTATAATTTATGTGGAGACAAGTTCCCACACAGATAAACAGGAAGAAATTCTTCTTAGTAGCCAATTCGAACATTATTGGTAAACTGCTTGTTAGATCCACGTTCATTTCCCTAACAGATGCGAAAGTCTACGAGCACGATAGCTTGTGATTTTGGGCGGAGTTTTGTGAGATGTCGTTATCTTCGCTGCTGTTCATCGAGATAAGCAGCGCTAGAATAGAGCAGTATCGGTGAGTGGTTGGTGAAGACTGTACCTCAGACCGGTAAGAGAAAGGAACGTGTTGCGAACTTTTATCAGAATTCCAATCAACCGTACGCCTGGGCGATGATACCGTGATAAACGGGACTACTTTTTAACTTAAAAAAAACGGTTTATGCATTCTTTCGTCTAAGAAGATTAGCTTAAGAAACAACTATCATTCATCGAGAACAAAAAGCAGAAAACTCGATTTCCAAGAATCTCTTCGGCGCACCCTATTTTGGAATTGTTGCAAACGGAATGCTCTTACTTCGAGCCATCATACAGATACTTAGAAGGCTCGCGCTCATAGGTCGTGCAAGTATCAGCGCTTCTTCAACTCATTTCATTGTTCTTAGGTTAGTTCGCTACTTCGGCCATTATAAGTTGATTTGTTGTCATTCAACCGCCATCCAGAGAGACTTCACAGGATATGCTTGCAGATTCGGCTTCGACATGAGGTTATCCTCCCTCATATTATGTTAAATGTTGGTCCAGCATAATTTTCCCCAAATTCAGAAATAAGTGCGGTAGAATGCTCTTGGTTCAGCACTACAGACAGCTGACGGCCTTCGTGGATTGTGAACGAATTTGTACCCTTGCCGCTCAGATACTTCCGAGGCGAAATCGACGTATCCTGTGATGAGAACGAATAGAACGAATTCTGCAACTAGTGGACCGACGCTGAATGATGGTGTTTAGCAAGTCGAATATTATGGAAAAATCTCTGCATACTCCAGGAATCGAAGTGGTTTGTGCGAAGATGGCGGGAATTTTCGATGATTCAGAGATATTGCCTGACAATAAATAATATTTTTACAGCCAGGATGGAAGTGATTAATTGACACGACATTGGCTGCTTCACGCATTCTTTCTACGCCATCCACGAACCACCACTGTAGATCGGCTCAGAGGAAAATGTCGCGTACCCTGTTCCGAAGTTTGCCTCTATTATCTTTAGAGGAAACGAGTTATAAACAGAAACAAAACAGTAGTCGACAATTACCTAATCAAACAGTTTCCCTAAAAGAGATGTTCGAACGCTAGACTACTCAAACTCTACACAACTTCGTCATACCTTAACTTCTTGAGATTTATTTGTTAGAAGCTCATTCGACTCAATGCCCCTTATTCATTGGCACCTCCTCTGCTAATCAACGTTCTCGGTACTTCTTTTATGGGAAATAAGCCGATGGTTTTCGTCATCATTCAGCTCGTTCTGCATCTCTTGTGCCATATGGCAATGTTTCGAGCCATAACAAATGAGTTTGTTGGTGAGTAATGAAATTGGAAGTAGGGGCTGAGTCAACGGCAGCTGGGCACTTCCGGCGTCGGACGGACCGCCGACTATGGAAATCCGGAACGTGGATCCAAATGACAGCGCTAATCAGACAGCTTACATAATAAGTACGAACCATAAGCCTTGCATCTAGAGAAATATTTCGCTAGTAGAACGTTTAAATAATAGAAAAAAGAACTGAAACACTCCGAAAGACCAAAAATCGATAAAGGCTATGAAGCGAAAGAAAAGTGAAAATTAAAGTGGACATTGAAAAGATAACAAATCGAAAACATAGAAGTTAAAAGCGGTGTTGTATTTTCTCTACGGGTCTATCTCACTGTCTGTCTCCGTCTCCATCTGTCGCTCTTTTTTTAGCCATCGTGTATTGGTTTTCCTTTTACTCCGAAAACGACCACCTCATTTGCCATAAACATATGAAAGCTAGACAACCAATTTTGACACTCTCTAAGGAACTTATCAAAAATTAATCAACCAAAGATATTCTCTAAAGAATTTGTTACAAGCGATTAGATCCAGTGATGGGTGGGAATTCCCTCTTGCCTGGAAGGACCATAAAATCCGGAACGCTTTGTGTCCATACGATTTCGGTTGGAAAGTTCTCTTTCTTACCTTTCCTATTGAAGTATTGCCGACTACTTAACTACAGAACGAAAACTGAACTGTAGCCCAGTTGAGGAGAAGGACTCCACCAAGAGTCCTTCTGGAGGTTATTTTTAGCACTTAGCACTACGCATATTGATGGTACTGAACTTTTGTTCGATTTCCTTTAGATTGTTGACTAGTATTACCAACGAGAAAATGTGATTTATCTCTTGATAACAGAGAGCTTCGCTAGTAAAAGTGTCCACCAGAAGCACAAAGAGAGAGTCAAAACCATGTCCTAGAGACAGGAAAATTTTCCGTTTATGAGGCGGGCTCGTTTCAGACTAGAGGATGAGCTCTGTCGTGCTACGTACCTCTGACATTCTCGTTACATCCTATGGAATCAGACCTTCAGGTTCTTTGAACAGCACTTGGTCTTTTGCATCCTTTCATTCTTGAATTATTCACTAGCATATAAGGAATCAATATTTAAAAAACCGACATTCCTTTAGCCTCGGCATGACTAATCAGTACGTATTCTTTCAATGACAGAGCACAAGGTTGATAAGGACCTTTATTCGGGTAACGTTTCGAGTCTTCGTTTTCCTTATAGCCGTTGAGCCGAATCGATGGTTAGCCGTTGGACAAAGGAAACGTTAGCCGAACAGCTCTTTATCAACCTCATGTTAGCTTACCAATGGAAGAATACATATTTAATTCTTCACTTGCAAAATACTTCGGAACGCTTCATCCACTTTTAAGCTTAGAAATAACGGTAAGAGTCTAGAAAATGCTATGCGATAGTGACAGTTCATTCAAATGATAAGCTTAATCTCGACTGATAACCTACCACCATTGAAAAGTACTTCTTTTGTAAGCGCAGAGATTCAACTTAATGTTCATCAGTTAATTTAAATCGAATGCGAGACTGTTTCATGGTGGAGATATTCGTAGATTATTGGGGTGTATACTATCAAATCTGCGTGTGTCAGCTAAGATAACAGGCTAGCATACATCTAAAGTATGCATTGAATATCGAAAACTAAGAAACGTACGTTTCTTGTCGACGTGTACCTCTCGACAAGTGGCTTTGTTCACGGAGCAGGTGTAGACGGCGCCAGGCCTCCGAATACCCCGCAAACTCGGGTTGGTTGACTCTGACTCGGGAGCACCGACCACAAGCCTAAATATATTACGGTGAGCATGAACCCTAACATCATATTCTATAACCCAGTTGTAGCGTTTATTCTTACCCCATAACTCATTCCTTCCCATATATCTCTCCCCTTGTAGCTGAAGAATGGCAGAGCGATTCGTACCAAACAAATAATAATTTGATAACAACAGTAGTAATATCACCAATGACAATGGTAATAATAATAAGAAGAATAATAATAGTGACATAACCATAATGTTGCTGAGATATTTGCAAAACTCCGGACCGCTGGTGTCTGAGATGGGGTCCGAACGCGCAATTACTCTTTGTGGAGGCTAAAGCGTTCACCACCACACCATGCGAGTCCTTCGTTTCGTCTGTCTCTCAGCCGTGTTATTAACCTATAGGCGCTATCAACATAATAATTAAATAAATAGCATAAAAAATAATAGTGACAAAAGAAAGCCAAGTAAGGCTGTGGATACACCCATGAGGTGATACGAATGATACGTCCATTCATTTCCATTTCGAAAGGTGACAACCACCAAGGAAGATCAGTACCGAAAACTGGATGAACAATAGAGTAGAATCAGGATGATGGAACTGGGGCATCCACTGGAATGACCACTTACAAGATGGGTATAGGTGTTTGTGTGATCATACCAGTCAGCTGTAGCCACAGCATGAAACCATTTATAGGTCACGGAATGATACGTCCATTCATTTCCATTTCGAAAGGTGACAACCACCAAGGAAGATCAGTACCGAAAATAACAGGAAGAAAATGTGTTGCAAGGGGATAGTTTCTTCCATATTATCCTCCTTGAGGCAATAACAATTTCAATAGCAAATATTGTTGCCCTGCAGCTCATCAGTAGCTAATGCCCTAATTTCGCCAATGTTTTATAGACTGAGAACCATAACGAAATGTACTTTGTTAAGTAGGAAGTGGTGTGACTGGCAAAAAGAATTATCGTTTAACTCTTGCTTTATCGATTCGGCAAGCCGTTCGAATGGAAACTGAAGGACGGAGAAGCAGCTGTACAGCGTCGAGCCGAAGTGTAATTCTTGGCCGACTTTTTGTAATCTCATCATCGTCGCGGGTTTCGTAGATGAAGTACTGCACAAGTACACCTGAAGGGCCACAGTCAGCGGAAGTCGACAGAAGCACGACCGATTTGACTGACAGTAAGTGATGTAGACGGAATCAGCTGCACAGGAAAACTTTTGTGCACTGCACAAACGTGTCAGTACCGAAGAAGCTCTAAGATTTTGATGTTGAACAGGTCCAGAACTTAAATTCGCGGAAATACTTCTATATATAGAAGGACTTCATAGGAAGAATATGCACAGTATTCCAGAAAAGAAATGTAAAAAATTCTTAAGCGGCGCTAAGCAAAATAAGAATTGAAAGAGTTCTAAGCGCGAGCTCGAATCGCCAATATGAAAGAAGCACTGAATGAATCTCATTCGGTGTTTATGCGGTCAGCTGTCCTTAACTTACACAGGCATGCCTTTTTCTTCGTTGTAAAAGTCAAGTGAGTATCCGAAGTAGCCAGACGGCATCGTGTGCAGCACGGCATTCTTCGTGTCGATGTTGAACGTGTTGCTGGACACGAACAGGCTGGTCAGCACCAGCCAAGCCTTCATTACCTCAAAAAATAATATTGAAGCAACCGAGCGAGAGCCCTCGAATAGCTTCGAAGTGCTAAGTAAAAGAAAAGCAAAAGCACGAATAGATAGAATACTGTTAGAAAGGTTTCGTGCAAATGATTTGATTCAAACTGGATTTTTTTGCGATGACATTTTCATTGGACAATTCAAACTGCTTGATTTCTGTCGTTTTTGCAGAAGTTTGACGTACACAGAACAGCTAAAGATCCCTAAAGACGAGAACAGATTCGTCGATAAAGGCGTCTGCTTGAGAAGTGGATAAACACTGACTTCTAATGAATTAATGGATACACGTAATGCATAAATTACAGCAGTAATTATCTATTCGAACGACGACAGCTGAGCGCAATGAGCAGTGCTCGAGCTAACACGTAGCCGAACCAACGAAGGCAGTCTATCGGACGAAGCTGACGGACGCTGATGGACCAACACACCTTTCATTTGATGAGAGAATCGCATGAGATGAAAAAGCACGCAACGGCAAACGTTCGTATATAGCAAGTACTGTTTTGTCAGACCGAGAGGGTTATAAGGTCCTACATGGGTCATTAAATGCTATTTAGCCATAAAAAAAGGGTGATACAATTAGTAATACAATGATAATATGCACAATGCTCAGAAAACGTTGCTTTACATCGTATGCTTTCTCTCGGGAATGCCATCTGTCTCATCAGCCGAGTCTCCGGACCCTCTCGGAATTCCACACTCCCGCGACCGTCTGTCTGACTCGACGGAATAGCAACGTCCACGCCGACTGACAGCACTCTGATTCCATAGTACAAGGCAAAAGCTGAAAATAACGATGAGCATAGGCGAACGACGTTCACTCCCAGACAGTGGCATGGATGATTCCAGACGTCACTCATCGATCTTCTAGGATGTACCCTTAATTCTCAGACTTCTTATCAAAAAATTTTGTAATTACGAAATAAGGAGCTATTTACATAAGGTGGAAAATGTTAATCCACCAAGTGACAGCGTTTCTCGTTAACATCCAGTCAGAACTAAAAATGAAATGAAATTGAACGAAGTAGATGATGAAGCGTTCCAAATTAGATGCAATGAATTTGGCGAATTAAGTAAGTAAGGGTTACAAATAGTGGCTGAAAAAGGGAAATTCTAGTTAACCTTTCGATCCTCTCATATATGAGGTTGGTGCAAAAAGTGTATAAAATGTGTAAAATTCACTTGAGATGTTGAAAACATGCCGTGGAAGATGTGATTCAAGTTCTTCGTCCCGACACCGTCGTTGTTGTTCTCACAAATGACACTTGTTCTGGATGTGTCGAAGCCAAAGCACGATAGAGTGGGTGTGATTATCAGCGTTAATAAAAAATAAGAGATAAAGCCCTCGGCGTTGATCAATCCCTGAGAGATGCGCCATGCATTCGACTTCATCAAGCATAGTTTGGAGGTGATTGAATGATTGAATGCATATCTGGCTTTTACAATAACTCGTAGTGGTGTACTGATGTACCGAGTCAGTGCTGCTATCCTCTTATACAGGTCTGATACCAATTTGCTGAACCCGGAAGCATTGAGAGCTTGCTGGGTCTGGGATGAGATCAGTCCGGTTGTACATTGCAAGGCGACTCTAACCACTGTAGTACACGTGCTCTCCTGTAGTAGATAGGATAAGACAGGATGAAAAGATACTCCTCTTCCACGAGTAGCTATGTTTCATGACTCCTATATTCACCGTTAATCGATCCAAAATATCGGAGCAAGATTATTCAGTCTTGTTCCTACAAGTGGCCCCCCTTCTATTTTCCCCAATGTATCGAGTCAATGCTGCTATCCTCCCTGACAAGTCTGGTACCAATATGCCGATCCCGGAGGGATGGAAGGCTTGGTGAGCCACGGGCGCGGAGATCGATCCCTTGTGCGTGTTGCAGGGCGCCACCGACCACTGCGCCACACGCGTCCGTTATTGGCGGTAAGTTTGACAAATTTGACACTACACAACGAAGGGATGCATGAATTGTACAAGTGAGTAGCACTTTTTCGAACTCGCACAGAAAAATCAAACGGGAATTGTTACAGTGTAATAGAAAAACAAAAATACGGATATGAGACTTAGAAGAACTGTTACGGATTGTCACGACTGCTTCGATGTCAGATAAGCAAGAGCTGTGAAAGAAAAGACCGGTAACACGGCCAGTTTTCAGCAGAGTTCATGAAAGCACTAGCATGTGAAGGCGATCTACTACGATTCCATTCATGAAAATTTAAACACCGGCCACTTGAGCCAACAATTATGAGGCATTGATAAGTAAAGGATCAGTTCTAAGGACTATCTTAATCATTTTATTTACTGCCCACTCTTTGTTAATGGCAGGGTATATTGCGAAATATAACTTCAATGAAGCTGAGATATTGGCAAAACTCCGGACCGCAGGTGTCTGCGGTGGGGAACGAACGCGCTATTGTCCTTTCCGGGGAATAACGCGTTCACCACCACACCATGCATGTCCTTCGTTTCGCCTCTCTCAGCTAGTTCCATCGATATTTTGCCGTCAGCAATCACCCGTCAGCGGGATTGGTGGTGAACGCGTTACTCCCCGGAAAGGACAATAGCGCGTTCGTTCCTCACCGCAGACACCTGCGGTCCGGAGTTTTGCCAATATCTCAGCTTCATTTAAGGACTATACCACTACATAACCCTATAAAATTAATGGAAAATTTGGGAACTTATTGTATTTACTAGAAAAACACACCCACATAGTATCGTATTGCTCCCACCTCATGCCTCTCGTGAAACTCGAGCGGAATAAACAGCGGCGCTACAAATCCTATCTACACTCGGATGAGGCTACCATCTTCTACTCTTGGTTGCTACGGTTATTGAAGAAACTTTGGAAGAAAAGTGCAAAAAACCGGTCCTCTAGTGCTACTAGACTAAACGCAAACGCTTTTACCAGGCGATATTCTCAGCCAGTAACTCCTTCATAAGAGTAACGGTAACCAATAGAGTAGTGCAACAAAGTTTATTCAACGAAGTGAGTGTCGAGGCCAGTTTTGCTGAGTGAAAGAGAGTGGAGAAAAGCGGAGGAATGGTGCTGCAGTCATGAATAAATAGTAGAGCCTCTTGGAACTCCCGCTGTGGGAGAGGCAAGTGTCCGTCTCGCCCAGGATGGAGCACTAAGAGGTTAGTGGACGGGATCAACCGATGGCAACAGTCGCTTTCCTATCAACTCGCTAATTCACCATCGCCAGTTCAAATTGACTATGGAACCGCATAGCGCTCGTAAATCATCGTCCTTCCACTCAAAATTGCCCCGTCGAGGCTAGCTATTCGATCGACGCGTACAAGTTAGTATTTAACTAATAGAGTCCTCATCAGTTAACCGCTGACGATCTGCAATCTGACCTGAATAATGCGGAAAATTCGATACAACGGCTACCAGGAGGGGTTCTCAAAAGGGAAATCTATACCTCCGTCTTTACTTCTTCACTGCCCAAGACATTGAAATCTAGCAAGAAAGTGGCTCGAAAACGCAAATGCTATACAACATTGAAGCGCTCGTGTCAGAATTTCAATCGAATGCCGAAGAAAATCAATGTTAAGGTGGTAATATACACAGGGTGAATTACGACAGCAGTAAGAACAACCGTAAAGGGAGCGGACGCGCAAATGATCAGATTTCTGTGTGAGGACACAGAGAAATCGAGAGCACATGCGCCGGTCGACGATCATCTCGGTGCTTTCAAACGCATCAGCACGTACACAGGCCATCGGCTAGAGCTAAAGCTGCTCCGGTGGGACAACTGCGGCTCTAAGTCGTATCCCGTCATTGAGGACACTCATCTTAAATTGTGTACGCAAAAGGCTCATTTCCCATCTTTTCAATAAAGTATAATAACAGCAGCTGCAGGGTGAATGGAAATTCTATGCAACCTCGGAAAAATTCTAGGTATTTTTCATCTGCTGCCATCGTCATGCTTTCGGCAGGACGAAAACTCACTGCAGCGTTCACATTAATAATTTAGCAGCTGAAAACCGCGTATTCCTTAGGATAGGGAGAACAGTTGTAATTCATGACAAGTGGTTGGAAAACGAGAGTGGGATAGAGCGTGGATCGATGATCACTAAGGGTGACGGGCGAGAGGGTGTGACTGGTAGCTCTGGAGAAGTTTGCGTGGGGGCAGAGCGTACACCAGATGCCAGCCAGGTCATTGAGTGCCGGAACAGTTGCCGTCTCCGTCGTGTTCTGCACAGCCACCTCTCCTCACCCATTATCTCGCCCTTCATCGGTGTTCTCCTTCGCTTAATCCATCTCTCAACCGCTTCTCTACAAAACCAATCTTTTCATCTTTTTCTTGTCTTCTTTTAATTTCTACACACCTAGGACATCACAATACATAACTCTCTACAAAAACATAGTGTTCTCCATTAATTAGGAATCATCAGATGTCTAGGAACTAACAGTTTTGGAAGTATCTTCTCCAGCTTAAGAAGTTAGCAAAAAGAAACTCTCCAGCTTAAGAAATTAACAAAAAAACCCTATTCCACTTGTTTGTCCAGCTTAGAAACTATTCCATTTTGTGATTAATTGTGAAGCTAAAAATGATTCAGGAGATGTCAAACTGGATTAACCTAATGGCTCGGTTTTCGTTTGTAGAGAAGTAGATTTATTTGCTAAGAACCGAGGTACATCAGCTGTGTTGTCTGCAAGATCCTGACTACATGCGGAGCACAGATTTGGAGCAAAGACAAGCATTTATTGGGCGATCCCTCAATTAAGAAATAATAAAAAAATGTTCTGAAAAAGCGTAAAAACGAATTCTGATGGCCCTATAAGATTCCTTATAAGGGTCTCGAAGTGTCTTACATACAGCGAACCGGGTGTCCGTCGTGTGGCTCACTACTATGTACAGCTCTATTTAGAAAAACTTCCCAAACAAATGGGCGATCAACGAGAGAAACCACTCATGAAAAAGCAATAGGCGAGAGGTTTTTAGCATCAGCTGTAATT